TGCTGCAGCCTGTGCTGCAGCTTGTGCTGCAGCATCTGCTGCAGCCTGTGCTGCAGCTTGCGCTGCAGCATCTGCTGCAGCCTGTGCTGCTGCATCTGCTGCAGCCTGTGCTGCTGCTTCTGCTGCAGCACCTGCTGCTGCTTGCGCTGCAGCATCTGCTGCAGCTTGTGCTGCTGCGTCTGCAGCTGCTTGTGCTGCAGCATCTGCTGCTGCTTGTGCTGCAGCTTGTGCTGCATCATCTGCGGCTGCTTGTGCTGCAGCTTGTACTGCAGCATCATCTGCAGCTGCTTGTGCTGCAGCTTGTGCTGCAGCATCTGCAGCTGCTTGTGCTGCAGCTTGTGCTGCAGCTTGTGCTGCAGCTTGTGCTGCAGCTTGTGCTGCAGCTTGTGCTGCAGCATCTGCTGCAGCTTGTGCTGCAGCTTGTGCTGCAGCATCTGCTGCAGCTTGTGCTGCAGCTTGTACTACATTTTCTGCTGCAGCGACTGCTGCAGCGTCTGGTGCAGCTTGGGTTGCTGCTTCGGCAGCAGCAGCTGCTGCTGTCTTTGCTGCAGCGACTGCTTCCAGGCGGTGCTGCAGAGCAGCAAGCTGCTGCAATGAGAGCTGCTGAGCAGCAAAGAGGATCTGGCTGAGAGCAGCATCTTCATTAGTTAGGTTTTGCTGCTGTTGTGCTGCGGCGTTGCTGTTTGCTTCTTCGCCGTGCAGATAGCTATGTACGCTTTGGACAGCAGCAAGACTGCTGCTGTCTCTGCTGTTGGTGCTGCTGCTGCTGCTGGTAGTGCTGGTTGTGCTGCTGCTGAATCTCTCTGATCCCTCTTCTTCCTGTTGCATAATGTTGATATGTTGCTGCTGCTGATGTTTCTGTTGTTGCTGCTGCTGCATTATTTGTTGTTGCTGCACCCTTTTTCTCTGCATTTGATGCATCTGATGCTGCATATGATGCATCGGCGGCTGCTGCTGCTGCTGCTGCTGCTGGGGCTTCTGATACTGATACTGCAGCAGCGCAACACGTCTTGCTGTTGCTTCTGCTTCAGCTATCTGAGGAACAAATGTGCGCTGATAAAGAAAAGTAAATACGCCCATCACAATTTGACAGTCAAATCTGTCCGTGACGCCTCCATGCCCAGGGATAAAATAACCAAAGTCCTGCAGCAGCAGCAGCAGCAGCAACAGCAACAGCAGCAGCAGTTGTAGCAGCAGCAGCAGTTGTAGCAGCAGCAGCAGCAGCAGCAGTTGTAGCAGCAGTTGTAGCAGTTGTAGCAACAGTTGTAGCAGCAGTTGTAGCAGCAGTTGTAGCAGCAGCACCAGTTGGAGAAACAGCAGCAGAAGCAGAAGCAGAAGCAACAGCAGCAGCAGCAGCAGCAACAGCAGTTGTAGCAGCAGTAGTATATCTATCTATCTATCTATCTAATCTATCTATCTAATCTAGCTAGCTAGCTAGCTAGCTAGCTAGCTAGTAACAAGTTAGTGTATTTGTTTACCTTGATGCGGAGCGCTCGCTTGAAGCCAGAGGCGAAGAACCCTCCAAACGGAGCAAAGAAAGCAGCAAAAGACCCTAAGACGAGTGCATGCAGATCAAAGGGTGAGAAAACAACAGAGCTGCATGTGCTGCGCTGCTGCTGCTCCAGAGACTTCAGCCCCGCTTCTACCTGCTGCAGCTGCTGCAGCAAACCCTCACGATGCTGAGCTAAAGAAGCAACTGCTTCAGATACCGAATCCTCATCATCTTGCTCCTCCTCCTGCTCCTGCTGCTGCTGCTGCTGCTGCTGCTGCTGGTGTTGGTGTTGGTGTTGGTGCTGCAGCTGTAAGATCTTTTGCTGCGTTGCTGCTGCTTGGAAGGTTAGATTTTCGTGCTGCTTGAGTAGCGCGAGTTGCTGCTGATGGAGCTGCTGCTGCTGCTGCATCTGTAGCTGAAAAGAGCGCTTCCTTTGCTGATCTTGATAATGTTGCTGCAGCAGCTGCAGCTGTTGTTGCTGCTGCTGATGGTTTCCTGGTGGTAATAATGCTGCAGCAGGTGTTGCTGCTGCTGCTGCTGCTGGTGCTGCTGCTGCTGCTTGTTCTGCTTCAAGTGCTGGTGCTGCTGCTGGTGCTGCTGCTTCCCAAGCATTGTAATAGTCAGTAAAGTAAATATCAGCACATGTAGAGACGAAGACAGAAGAAGGGGTGCATGAGAGATTTGTTAAAGGTGTAAAAGGCGTAAAGAATATAAAAGGCTGAGGACATATAAAAGAAGAGAGCCGCTGCAGCTGTCTGCTGCATCCCCAAGCCCACAGCAATGTTATAACAGCAGCAGCAAGATAACCTTCTAATGTCTTCTTCGGCGATAAACGTATTAGCTGAGTCTTACCGAATGCAGTACCGCATAGATAAGCAGCAATATCATTAACTATTACTAAAGATGTCGGTAGCACAAACCAGACAAAGCCGCTATATATATTAGCAATTTGTATTAAAGACTGAAAGACAACAAAAATTAATACAACAAAAGTAATCCCGAGCTGACTAAACTGTATTCTTAAAGAAGCTTTCTTTAAAGATAATATAAACGCAACAAAGCCGCCAAATGCAGCTATATATACGCATAAAGAATGATACTGCAGCAGCTTATCTGCCTGTACACCTAACACCCCACACAAACTTAATCGGGGTAAAGCCCACGGCAATCCGACTGCAGCAATAGACAGCAGCAGCCAATACCACGTTAATAAAGTAAACGATCCTCGCAAACCGCTGCTGCGCTCCTTCGCCTGCATGCATATCAACATTCAATAATTAATATATTATTATTACTACTTCTTCTTCTATCTATTTATATAATATATATATATATATGTATGTGCTTCTTTATCTATCTATATATATATATATATATATATATATATATGTCTATATGCATCTTTATCTATCTACCTATCTGTAAATATATATATATATATATATTATTTAATTTATTTATTTTTTATTTAGGTGTTTGTATATTACACATAAAAGTGCATGCAAAATATATACATGTATGAAGAAGATATATATATATATATATATATATATAAACAAATAAATATATTTATATATTTATATTGATTAATTATACTTATCATGCATTGATTTGCATTTGTATGAGTCTGTAAACAGATAAAAAAAACATAAAAAAGAAGAGCAGCTTCATCACCGAGAATCGCAGGAACGTATTGTTAGGGTTTAGGGTTTAGGGTTTAGGGTTTAGGGTTTAGGGTTTACTTGGATGATCTCTTTATAGATTGCGACAATGAGAGAGAGGACGAGCAGCATGCAGTAAGCATGACCAGCAGCAAGGATTAAGAAAAATAATAAAACTAAAATCAGCGTCCAGACAGTGCGAACTTTAAAGGTCTCGAAGCGCTGCTCCCAGCTCTCTGCTGCTGCTGCTGCTGCTGTTGCTGCTGCTGCTGCTGCTTGTGGGGCCTCTGATGCAGCTATACAACCTGATGCTGCACTTATAGCACCCTCTGAATTATCATCCACTCGCTTTGCTGCTGCTGCTGCTGCAACGCGAGCATGATGAGAGCTGCATGGCTTCTCGCCCTTGCTGCTGCTGCTGCTGCTGCTGCTGCTGTGATGAGACTGGTGTTGCTGAGGCGAGTGCCCGCTGCTGCTACTGCCGCTATGGTTGCTAGTGCTGCTGCTGCTGTGGCTGCTGCTGCTGCTGCTGCTGCTGCCCACGGAGCCACCACGCGAACGCCGCAGCAAGCTAGATCGAGCTGTTTTGTGCTGCTGCTGCTGCTGCTGCTCTGCTGCAGGTGCTGCTGCTGCTCCGCCTCCCGCTGGAGGAATTGAATATGATGCACAGCGAGCCCGTGGCCTCTGCATTGGAACGGTCTCCCCCCGTGTAAACGAGCTGCTGCTGCTGCTGCTGCTGCTGCTGCTGCTGTTGCTGTTGCTGCTCCTGTTGTTGCTTCTGTTGCTGCGGCTGTTGCTGCTGTGGGGTTCGTCTGAATCAGCCGGCTCATCTTCAAGTGAGCTGCCAGAAGAGACGGAAAGCCCCGAATCTGACTCCGACTCCGCCATCTCGTGTTGCTGCTGCTGCTGCTGCTGCTGATGATGATGATGATGATGCTGCTGCAGATGCTGATGCCGCAGCTGCTGATGCTGCTGCTATTGCCTTCGTTGCTGATGATGCTGCTGCTGCTGCCGCCGCCGCTGCCGCAGTTGCTGCTGCTGCTGCCGCCGCTGCTGCCGCTGCTGCTGCTGCTGCTGCTGCTGCTGCTGCTAGGTCGAGTGTACGTACACCAAGGACGCCACTGTGTCTCGCGCTGCAGAGCAGACCCGGGTGTTAGATCGGCAGCAGCAGCCTCCGCTGCTCCCGTTGCTTCTGCTGCTGTTGTTGCTGCTGCTGCTGCTGCAGGTGGCTCCTGCTGCCCTCTGAAGTCTGCTGTCTGCTGCGGCGGTTGATTGAAGTTGCTGCTGCTGCTGCTGCTGCTGGGAGCAGTTTACGCACAGGCGATGAGTTAAAACACCACGGTAAAAACTAGCCAAGCGTATGTGTTCTTGCTGCTGCAGCCTCGATGAGGTCCTTAGAAGCAGCAGAGATCTTCACTGCTGATTTGATAGAGTTAAAACACGCCAAGCCAGCAGCAAATAGGGGTATTTATGTCCTGCTGCTGCAACAACAGCAACAGCAGCAGCAGCAGCCGCAGCAGCAACAGCAGCAGCAGCAGCAGCAGCAGCAGCCAAGCCCTCGTGGGGGTTTCCTAATGAACAACTACCTTACGAAGTCTTTTCGTCTTTATGCATTTATAAACATATTGTTAATTTAAACAGCCTTCACAATCAAACTTCTCCCTTAGATGTGTATAACTAGCTGTCTCAGCAGCAGCAGCAGCAGCAGCAGCAGCAGCAGCAGCAGCAGCAGCAGCAGCGGCAGCAGCGTTATTGTATGATGATGTCCCACCTCTTTGTTTTTATTTTCGTCGCATTTCGCAATTTGTTTAAATTCAAACCCTCAAACAGCACATTTTTATTTAGATATTTGCATTGTTAGGTCTATACTGTCTAGGGTTTAGGGTTTAGGGTTTAGGGTTTATTAAATATATCTATTAAACCCTAAACCCTAAACCCTAAACCCTAGACCCGGGTGTAAATTCAACGCATTTATTTTCATTTAATTTATTTTAATTAACTCAAATTGAGGCGACAGACTCGCAGGGTGAAGCACCAATTAAAAACAGCAGATGCATAAACATATAAACATATAAATATATAAACATATAAATATATAAATGTATAAATATATAAATATATATATATGTATATATATTTATAGATATATTTAATATATATATATATCTATATCTGCTGTTTTCATTATATATATAATATATATATATATATATATATATTATATATAACAGCAGCATTTGCTGAAGCATCTGTTGCTTTTTATAATATATATGCATATCTAGATTATATATATTGTTTATATATATATAACAATATATATATAGATTATATATATTGTTATAAATATATATATATATGTATATGTATATAAACCGCAGGATTTGCTGCAGCAAATGTAGATATTTATATAATAAATATTGTTATTATATATGCATATACTATATATATATGTATGTATTTATATAGATATATAATAATAATAATTACTACTATATATAACAACAACATTTTATTAATGCTGTGGATGCAGTCAGAAGAGTAAATTTATTGTGCTGCTTCTGCTGTTGTTGCTGCTGCTGCTGCTACTTGGGTTGTACAGATCCCTTACGTATTGCAGCTGCAGCATACAGTGCTGCAGCTGCTGCTGCTGCTACTGCTGCTGCTGCTGCTGCTGCTGCTATTCCTCCCCAAGTGGCTGCTGTTGCATTCCATCGTCTGCCGAGTCTCCAGCAGCAGCAGCAGCAGCAGCAGCAGCAGGAACAGGTGCAAGAGTTGTTGGTTGTTGCTGCTGTTTGCTGCTGCTGCGCTGGTTGTTGCTGCACTGCTGCAGCAAATGCTGCCTCCATACTTCAGGCTGCCCCAGCAAACACTTGCCGCAATACATGCAGTAGCTGTGCTCAGGTGTAGGGGGTGCTGCACTCATCGCATCACCAGCAGCAGCAGCAGCAGCAGCAGCAGTAGCAGCAGCAGCAGCAAAGGTAGCAACAGCAGATGATAGAGAAGCGTCGGTGGCAGCAGAAGCAGCATAGGAGTACAAGCAGCAGCAAAACTAGCAGTAGTAGAAGCAGCAGCAGCAACAGCAAAAGTGGAGGCAGCAGCAACAGCAGCAGAAGCAACTGTAAGGACAACAACAGCAGCAACAGCAGCTGTAAAAATAGAACCAGCAACAGCAGCAGCAGCAAACAGCAGCAAGAGCAGCAGCATCAACTTGGTAGCAGTAGCATCGGCATCAGCCGCAGCAACAGCAAAAGGCCAACGGAAGCAGCAGAAGCTCAGTAGCAGCAGCAGCAGCAGCAGCAGCATCATTCGCTGCATCATCAGCAGCAGCAGCAGCTCTAATCAAGTAGTCGTCGTAGCAGCAGCAGCAGCAACAGCAGCAGCAGCAACAGCAGCAGTACAAGTCACAAGCTCTAAGGAGGTGATTGAGGAAGCACTCCTCTGTAAACCCTAAACCCTAAACCCTAAACCCTAAACCCTACCGCAGCAGTTTGCATGCGTTTTAAGCTCTTCTAATGTCATCACCCGGCAGCAGGTGGAGCAGCGAGCGTAGCTGCTGCGGGCTGTGCAATCCTCAATCAGGTGTCTATCCATCGTCGATACCTGCAGCAGCAACAACAACAGCAGCAGCAGCAGCAGCAGCAACAGCAGCAGCAGCAGCAGCAGGTGCAGCAACAGCAGCAGCAGAGACAGCAGCATTAAACAAGGCATGCGCCTGACAACAGCAACGGCGGGGCTTCCTCCCCTCCCCGCTCTCCACCAGCTGCTGCTGGTGGTGCGACTGCTGCTAGTGCTGCTACTGCTGCTGCTGCTGCTGCTGCTGCTGCTGTACCTCTAAGACAGTGCGGCAGTGGCTGCAGACTGCAAGACAGGGGCAGCGCTCAGCGAAGTGTTTATCCAGTCCTCCACCCACGAGAGAAGGAGAGCGACGCAAGCAAAACATGCACACCGCCTGCAGCACAAGCAGCAGCAGCAGCAGCAGAAAGAGCAGCAGCAGCAGCAGCAGCAGGAGCGGCCGGTCAGTAGCATCAGTTGCAGCACCATTTCCAACGGCAGCAGCAGCAGAAGCAGCAACAGCAAAGGCTTTGACGCTGTCCACAGGAGCGTCTACTGCACCGCACAGCAGCAGCAGCAGCAGCAACAGCAGCAGCAGCAGCAGCAACTGCAGCAGCAACAAGGAAAACAACAGCAATAAAGACGTAGTGGTTTACTGTGCTCCGTTCTTGCTTTTGATGGACAGGCGGTGGGGGGCTGCGGGGCCGCATGCCCTTCATACAAACATTACCGCACAAACCCTAAACCCTAAACCCTAAACCCTAAACCCTAAACCCTAAACCCTCAAGCGTGTAT